CGACATGTTTTTGTTTTTCTTGACTTCGATGCCACTTTAGGCTTTCCAGGGGAAGGACCTCCCATCCAAAACATGACCTGCACTTCAAGTAACATAGGCTCTTTACAAACAAATCCCATGTGGAAGACATGGGAAGCTGATATCATTTGCCTTCAAGAGACTCGCATCGGTCGCAACAATATCAAACATGCTAAGAAGACCTTTGAATGCGACACCATGCCTGAGTGATCCCCTCCCAGGTCTTCGGCATGCAACAGGGTCCACCAAGACTCCATGCGGTGGGTCCGCTGTCATCGGAGGATCAGCGTACATTCGACCTTTCGACCCACAGGAAGATCATACGGGCCTGTTTGCACAATTGTTTGCCACCAGACGTTTCGCAGCAGCTTGGGTGCAGGTCACTCTCAAGAAATCTGCGCTTGTCATGTCCATTTATGCTCAAACAGGAGCGTCGTGTGACGCCAGAATCCATGAAGAGAACGATGCATTGTTTGACAAGATACTCACGTTTGTCACTCAATTCGGCCAAATTCCGATCATTCTTGCCCCGAACAGTTACAAATCCATCGCCACTGTCCTTGCCTTTCACTCATGAGCTGATCCCATCTCCACCACTGACAACGATGGTGCCTTGGTCCGACTTATCACTTTTAGTCAGGACGGAACTTTTGCAAGTAGCCAGGATGGCTGTTCTTCAATAGATGGCATTTTACTAAACAGCATTGCATTTGCTGAGCATTTCGGTAGGCAGCATCGGCCGATCCAGGTCAAATTTTCTTGCCCATCGACCGAGCAAAAAGGTTATGTCCTCTACAAGACAGCCCCACTTGTGCTTGACAAAGTATCTCCACCTGTTGATGTAAACCACGCCACCACTCAGTGGTTCTCAGCTTATGAGTGTGTATATAATGATGCCGACTCCCTCGACACGAAATGGCAGATTGTCAATTCATTTCTTCAGCAGAGTGTTTTGGATCGTGGTGCAAGTTGGGGCACAGGCCCAAGAGAACGAGCCTGCAAACCGAGATTCATCGCCAAAACTATTGCCCCTAAACAACTTGCCTCACACTCAGCAGCTACTACCCGAGGGTTGAAGCTCTCCAAGCTTATCTCACGATTGAATGAATTGTATACTCGTCTCTCCAGAAATCAAGGTAACCCTCAAGATGTTTACATCACCCAGCAAACTGCCCGCAAAGCTTGGAGTTCCCTTGCTGAACTCTCTGCACCTGTCGGTTGGTGCCATCCTTCCCGGCCCTCACTCACTGAGGTATACCTTGTTCGACAATGGGCGTCGAAAGCGCTTGGAACACATGATGCGGAAGTTCGTGTTCAACGCATTAAGCGATGGAAAGCCAAGATCCAGCATTCTGCCACTTCGGGCTGCAAGTTTATTTTTCAACACCTTAAAAATAAACAGCAGGACGAACCTTCGAATCTTGTTCTTGACAAAGCACAGAATATCGTATACAACCCTGAGCAAGCTTTGCGTGTCCTTAATGGCACATGGGATGATATTCTTTCGGCCAACACACTTTGTGAACACCCTCTTCGCATGTTGGACACTGTATGGCCATACGCTCAACACTCTCAGGTTGATGCTGATATCCCTCCCATTACCGGTGAAGCTTTGTTCTTGACGTTGCAAAAACGTCGAGTCGATGCCGCACCAAGAACTTGCACCCGTAGCCAAATTCTTTGCCGACCTGGAAATCTCCTCTGATGCCATCCCTGATACTTTGGTTTGTGCGAAACAGATGATCTTGAACAAACCCGGAACGGCGACACCACTCAACAAACGCCTGATCACTGTTTTACCAGCCTGTTGCTCGCCTACACGGGAGCTCGGTTTTCCCAGCTTCAAAAATGGCAAGCTGCAGTGATGCCACCTAGTATCCTTGGTGGTGGCATTCGACATAGGCACATGTCCACCCTATATAATGAACTTCGACTTGAGATCGATTGCGCCAAACTTGATGGTATTCCATTAATCGGCCTGAAATTAGACAAAGCAAAAGCATTCAACAAAATCATTCCTTCGTATGCAGCAGCATTGTTTCTGGCCTTCGGTAGTCCTAAGACAATTGTGAATGTCTTCTTGAAGATTTACAAAAAACCTTCATCGTCATCTTGCTTACCGTAATTGGTGCTCCCCCACCCCTACCTCGCCGACAAACGGGGTGGCGCAAGGTTGCTCCTTTTCGTTGTTGGCTATGAACGTCTACAACAAGGTATGGTTCCACCTTCTTGAACACATCCCCCAGATCTCAGCTAGAGCTTTCATTGATGACGCGTATATGTGGTGCCACCTTCACCACAGCGCCTTACTTCAGAAAACCATCGATGTGACTAATCTTTGGGATAGTCTGGCAGGACAGAAACTTAATCCCCACAAATCTTCCATGTGGGGGACGACTAGCCAAGCGAGAGCTACTCTTCGTGAAGAGTTCCCTGACTTTCCTGTTGAGCATGAAATTTTTGTTCTTGGTGCACGTATGTATTGCTCCGAACGAGACTCATTTGGCTTTCCCCAATCCACGTTGAAGCGTGTCCTGGGGGATATTGACAACATTGCTGTTCTCCCCATCCCGCACAAGACACGTGTTCATCTTATTGGAGCCAAGGTCATCCCACAACTCTCATTTGGTTGCCATATTTCTAAGATCCCGAAGAAGGATATCACAGCCATCCAGAGCGCTATAGCACGTGCTTTATGGGTTGGACCGCCAAAATGGCGGTCGCGGACACTTTTGCAGGCCATCCTTGCTCAGCCATTTCGAACCGACCCATTGTTTGCCACTGCTTACAACACTGTTTTTGAGATCATTCGTTTGTGTTGCACTGCGCCTGAAACCATTCCCAAACTCAAGCGCACACTCAATGCCAACAACAATACCAAACATGCTTTGGCTGTGTCTCTTCACAAGCGCTGCCAACACTCTGGGATTACAAATTGACACAAACCTAGGCCTCAGTTTCGAAGGATCGCCCACCAGATGTCAAGCTGCAAGGCACATCACACGACATGCGTGTTATGTCTCGACCCCTCATAGTGGTAGAAAAGACTTCTGTAAACCATGTGGCATTTTTGACTTCACTCAAAGCACACTCTCTCTGCACAGGAAGTCAGAAACAACCCCAGGAGTGATTTCAGATTCTTCCAGATTTGAACCCGTTGTGATCGGTTGTACTCTTACCAACGATCGCTTGGCCAGCTCAGGATGGACAGAGTCAGCATTGTGCAGATTCTGCAATGAGACCAAGGAATCAATGCCTCATTTAATTGAATGTACGGCTCTTCACCAACTTATTGGGCCTCCCACTTCGCACGAGTTCGGCACCAATTTTCTGATGTTAGGCCATGTGCAGCACCCTTATTTTATTGGCAGGAAAAGGTTTTTATCCTTTGACACCAGTGTTATTACGTGTGCAGCAGACTTCAATCCGGGGCCACTTCGTAAGGTGTGGACAGATGGCTCTGTATTATTCCCTACCAAATTCTGGCTTACCGCAGCCACATACGCTGTCCTCGCCGAGGACCTTCGATAATTTCCAAAGGACAGGTGAACCATTGGAATCTTGCATCCTACACAGCAGAGTTGTGGGCTGTGGTAGTGGCGTGCATGAAGGCCATCAGTCCCACCATCATCTCTTCCGATTCCATTACGGTTGTACAACAGTGCAGTGAAGTATTTGCGACCGGTTGTGTGTCTCCCATGGTGGCGTGCCCTCAGGGACCTACACCAGTACAGAAAAGATGTGTCAGAGCATCCCTTCATGATCCAGTGGGTTCCCGCCCGCAAGCTGGAGCGGGTGCCGGACCAACTCATTACAGAAGATTTGGCAGCCAGTGCAGGTACTACCAAAGAGTTGGCATATAAACTTGCGCCAGTTGATTGCGCTATACAACAGCAAGCTGACAGGGGTTTTTTGCCAGCACCATAGTTGGTTGATCGCCCTCCACAAGCTCCTTCCTACACGTGCTCCTGATGACAATGTTGGCGATGAACCACGTTCTGAGAATAATGTCGACATCGCGCCAGATCAATGCAAAGCACGATTCCCGCAGTGGATGTGGGGTCTCCGGCCTTCCCTCTTTACATGGAAACCCAAGGTTCCAGTGCATTTTCCCTGCCCTGCACGGTGGACACGACCAGAGCGGGATTGGCACACTCTGTGTGCCTTCTTCCGCTCGTTGAAGTGGCTTCCAGATGTCCATCAGAGTTTTTCATTCTCTGAGCTCACGGTTTGTTTTCACTGTGAAGGTTTCCGCCTTGACGGTGACCAACAACTTCTGACGTTTTATGACATCTATAAGCCGTTACGAGCGTGTCTTCTTGCACTATTCAAAAGTGACCAAGCGGATCCATTTCCAGGCCAGTTCAACTCGACATTTCCTCGCTCATGCGGGCGTGTGATGCCTCAAGGATGTATTCAAGGATCCATCCCTTACCATACGGATGAAACCCGAGTTACTTTGGCCAAGATCTTTTCCGCTGGGGCTGGCCGTACATTGGAGTCATGGAAGCTTTTGTTGTCAGACTTTTGAGCCTTGCATGTCTTTTTGATGCATCTTAGTGTTTCCTCATCTGTGGTGGGGCAACAGGCTCTTTCCACATTTCACTCGTGGATTTCGAGCGCGGGAGGTAGTAAAGCATGGTAAAGCCATGGCTTCCTCCAATGGGTTCCTACAGTTTTGTTGTTTTTGTATGCAGCAACTTCCTGCAAAGGGTTGAGAAGATTGGTTCCTCGACCTGGCTCCAAGATCTGTGCTGCCCATGCCCGCACAGCTGCTGGGAGGTGTGTGCACATGGACAGTGTGATACTTCTAACACAAACCAAAGAGTCACGCAAATCAAACACAATCTGGCATGATTCCTACGGTGATATGGGTGTTTCTTGTCAAATCTTGTCCACAAGTGCAACTTCCCTGTCATCTCGAGTTTCTCGAGTGAGCTAGTCGGAAGCTTCACGCCAACCTATGACATTGGTTGGCAGCTCTAGGGTTTGTAGATAATGTCGGAGCGCACCTGAGTGCAAGCATTCGACCACACCGTTACGCTTGTGGCTCAAAAAGTGGGACTGTCTGCCTGTCTGTTTCTTTCTTTCTTTTTTCTTTCTCTCTCTCTCTCTCTCCTCTCCCTCTCCCTCCCCCTCCCTCTCCCCACCACCCTCAGATAGAAATCTGCCCCAGCTATGTCTATGTGGGGGTGGGAAAAAAGGATGGGTATCACCGGGTTTGGTCTTTTGCTCTGCCCTATTTGTCCGAACATCACAAATGTTGGTGGATGGTGGATGGTGGATTCTCTCACCTTTGATGCCATCTGGTGCCCGAGTACGCGATACTCGAGGTCCAAGCGACCAAGTACTTCACCCCAGATTTCACATCGCCTCCTGAGCCATCGAAAAAGGGGTCACGCGAGTGGTTCTTAGAGAGAGGGAGAAAGCCACAAAAGGTGATGATATGCCGTCGATGAAAGAAGTAACCAGTAATCAAATATATAAACACCAATAAACACCATATTTCGCCCATAATCTTCATGACACATCTTGTGCCCATGAAGGTCCTCCCTTATCCATCCTTACTCCAGAAGGTTTTCTGCATGGAGTCGCATTCTCTTTGGATACTCAACCAATGTTGCTCCTCAGGTTTGTCACCTTCGTATCTTTTTTGCAAGGTGACACCTGGCCCTGGAGGCAGCTCACCAACGTATCAACCGTATCAAACCCAGGTAGCGGCGTCCGTGCCGTCGCAGGCACCATAGTGCATGGGGTTGTTCACTGCATTCTGGCCATGGAAGAACAACAAGGCAGCCCCCGTCCTTAGGCGAAGAGGAGCATGTTCGAATGCGAGTTCAGGGTGCTTCCCAATTTCATTCTCGAACTGCTGCTTGCGTTTGCAGTCCTATCTCAACAGCAGGGTGCGGGGCAAACACGCGGAGCCATTGGACTTCGTTTTACATCGTGGACACCAGGTCCCTCTTTGAACATATACCTCTGTGTTCCCTATCCCATTGTATGTTTATGATATGCTTATACCTATATATCTATTTCAGCATATTTCAGCCATTCAGAGAGCGTCTTCTTCCAAATCCGAACCCCCGAACCAGACTTGTCGGTCTGTTGTAAGCACCTGCACCTGCGCCTCTCGGCTGTTCCATAGCACGAAAGGATGGGTCCTTTGGTCGTTTGACCCACAACGCCATGACCCTCAAGAGCCAAAGTGTAGTCTTAGAGGTAGCAACTTAGAGTCTTAGAGCACCCCTGGTAGAAGACTATCTTCCTGTCCCTTTCTCACGTTTCATCAACTTCTGCATGTCTTCACAAAGCAAGCCAAGACGTAACGAATGGCCGGCGAAGGGCGCAGTCAAGGCGCTTGGGTGGAATAGCCACCCAAATGCCACCCTGTGGATATGTGAACACCTCGCGACGACGGCAATGCAAGAGTGCGCGACTGTCAAACGAACGGTCGGGTGACTGCTGTGTTTGACATAGCGGAACAGCAAGCAAGCCTGCTGTGTTTGCAGGTGAATGTTGGCACAGCCAAATGCAACGTGGAACAGTCAAGCTGTTCTGTTGTCAAACCACGTTACTCTTTCCCAAACAGTTTACTGTTAGGGGTTCTCAATTCTTTCTTAAGATGTGTCCGCCCTTTGTGTCACTGCTGGTGTCCGCCCTTTCCCGCTGGCCATGTCGCATTTCTATTCATTTGTATCCCAGGTCTGTCGCTGCTTGTGTCCGCCATGCAGCATTTCTATTCATTCCCCAAGCAGTTTACTGTTTGGTGTCCTATTCATCTGTCTCCCAGGTCTGTCACTGCTGGCGTCCGCCCTTTTCCGCTGGCCCATGTAGCATCTCTATTGATTTGTCTCCCAGGTCTGTCCCTGCTGGTGTCCGCCCTTTTCCATTGGCCATGTAGCATTTCTGTTCATTTGTCTCCGAGATGTGTCACTGCTGGTGTCCGCCCTTTCCCGCTGGCGATGCGACATTTCCATTCATTCCCCAAGCAGTTTGCCGTTACGTAGGGTTTCTCACTTCTTTCTTAAGATGTGTCCGCCCTTTCTGTCACTGCTGGTGTCCGCCCATTTCTGCTGGCCATGCGGCATTCAATTCGTTTGTCTTTAAAATGCTTTCTTTACTTTTGTCTCCCAGGTTCGGTGCCTGCACTGCTGGTGTCCGCCCTTTTCCACTGGCCATGCAGCATTTCTATTAATTAGTTTCCCATGTGGTTTGTTTACTTTTGTTTTCCAGGTTCGGTGCCTGCACTGCTGGCATCCGCCCTTTCCCCCTTTCCAGCATTTCTTTTCATTTGTCTCCCAGGTGATTTCTGTACTTCCCCAAACAGGCTACTGTTAGGGGTTCTAAATGCTTTCTAAGAGTGTCCGCCTTGCTGCCGGACAGCTTGTCCGCTTCCGTCCGGCTTGTCTCCCTTGGTCTCCCTTCTTGTTGGTCACCGTGTCCTCACTGTGTCCGCCTGGTCTCCCTTCTGTTTCCTTTTGTCTCCCTTCTTGTTGGTCACTGTGTCCGCCTTGTCTCCCTTCATTCTTTCTTTGTCTCTGGTCTTGTCTCCCTTCTTGTGGGCCATTGTGTCCGTCTTGTCTCCCTTCTTGTTCGTCATTATGTCCGTCTTGTCTCCCTTCTGTTATCTTTTTGTCTTGTCTCCTTTTTGTCTCCCTCTTGTTGGTCATTGTGTCCGCCACGTCCCTTCTGCCTCCCTTTGTCTCCGGTCTTGTCTCCCTTCTTGTTTCCCTTTTTGTTGGTCATTGTGTCCGTCTGCCTTCTTGTCTCCCTTCATTGTGTCCGCATGTCTCCCTTTTGCCTCCGGTCTTGTCTCCCTTCTGTTTCCTTTTGTCTCCCTCCTTGTTGGTCATTGTGTTTGTCTTCCTTCTGTTTCTTGTTGTCTCTAGCCTTGTCCCCTTTTTGTTGGTCACTGTGTCCGTCTTGTCTCCCTTCTGTTTCCTTTTGTCTCCCTTCTTGTTGGTC